TTGTCAAGCATCTAGTTGATAATAGACGACTTGAAGAATGGCCGAGCTTGGTATTGTACCCGGATGGTACAAACGGGGAGGTATATAACACTACAACTCAACGTTGGGAGCTGCCAGCTGGTCAGACGAAGCCGAAGGTGAGAGGGATTCTTCTCTCTGCATATTGTCCTCACTTATAGCACCCGTTTCGTGTGATCCGACTAATCCCTGTCCTTAATTTAGACATCTTGGGAAACTCAGCTCGCTGATATCGTTGAAAATGCTGCAAAGCGTCGAAATTGGCGGTCCATCCTCGTTGGAGGCTGCTGTAAGACCTCGCATGTGGATATCGCCAACCTAAGAAACGCCATTCAAAGACATATTTAACCCTTTTGGATTGTCTTTGTGTATTCATAATCTCGGGTTAGACGATATAATAGAATCCCGATTTTAATTTGTAAATCTGGCAAAGTCGACAGAAGTGCCATTGCAGTCAGCCCCCACCATAAGTGGCAGGGTCCTTCCAAGTTTAGGTGCGAAGCTTATCTAGACGCTGATGTCAAGTAAAAGGCGTAGCGACCAACTATGTCCGATTTCAGAGCAGCTCTTCATTTCTGCATGCCGCGCTCATCACAAGGCAATTGTTTTCACTAGAGAATTCTCGAATATGGCGAGCGGACCGTCAATTACCACGGCGATCGAGCTCGGCCGAGTCGATGCGCCGCACAGCACCATCAACCAGCGCGACAATGCCGCCGCCGCCCAGAGAGCATCTTCCGACTCTTCAGTCGCCGATCCGATCCTCGAAGCATCGCGTCTCGCCGACTCTACCGTGCCGGACGGCGGGTATGGCTGGGTAGCCGTTGCCGGCTGCGCTGTTGTGGCCTGGTGGTTCGTCGGCACTAGTTATAGCTGGGGTGTCATCCAGGGCGCTTTGGTGGAGGAAGGTCTGTCATCACCCGCCATCTTGTCCTTTGTCGGCTCGCTCTCGGCGGCGCTCATCTCGGCTTTTGCCATTGTAAATGCCCGGGTGACCCGTGCCCTTGGACCACGGAAGACGGGCATGCTTGGCGTGGCGTTTTTGGGCTTAGCAGAGATCCTGAGCAGCTTTGCGGTGCGCAATATCGCCGGGCTGTTTATAACGAGCGGAGTTATTCTCGGGCTCGGAATGAGTCTTTGTTTTATGACAGTCTCGGTCATACCAGCGCAGTACTTCAGCCGGAGGAGGGGCCTTGCAAACGGCATCGTTTTTGCGGGCGGTGGACTCGGTGGTGCAGTGACCAGCTTCGGCCTTGACACCCTCATCCAGCGCTTCGGTCCCGCCTGGACATATCGCATCCTTGGGCTTGCAACACTCAGTACGGGCCTGCCAGCCTCATGGCTGATAAAAGAGCGAACACCCATTCGGACCGCAGGGTTCATTGAATGGCGTCTCTTCAAGGACTTCAGCTTCTTGATCATCTTCATCGCAGGGGCCATTGCAACATTCCCTCTCCTTGTCCCGCCGTTCTTTCTGCCTCTTTACAGTAGATCACTCGGGTTGTCGTCAAGTACCGGCGCTGGTCTGCTTGCCGGATTCAACTTCTCGTCGGCCGTTGGCCGAATCCTCTGTGGCTTCCTTTGCGACAAATTTGGGCCGCTCAACACACTCTTCAGCGCTCTGCTGCTTAGCGCTGTGAGCATGCTGGCTCTTTGGCCTGCGTCCACAACTCTGGCGCCTCTTGCTGTCTTCGTCGTGATCAATGGCACAGCTAACGGAGGTTTCTTCGCCACTATGCCAACCGTTGTGGGCAACATTTTTGGGTCACAGAGAGTTTCCGTTGCCATGGGAATGATTGTGACTAGCTGGGGTGGAGGATATCTCCTGGTAAATCCAAATGGCGATGATTTCTAAATGTTCGGTCGGCACTAATACGAGGAATTACAGGGCGCGCCCATTGCAGGATACCTGCTTGATGCTTACGGCGGTGCTGAAGAAGGGCTTCAGGCTTATCGGCCGGCCATGTTTTATGCGGGATCTATGGCGCTCGGTGCAGCGTGCCTTGTAGCGCTCATGAGACTGCGCATTAGCAAGTCACCTCTGGCAAAGCTCTGAGCTACACACGATAGATGGCAGAATTCACTTTCCAAGCGTTTTTGCACTCACGCCCCTGGCTAGAAAGGTCGATCGCGGCCACTATATAGGTAACGTGAATCGTACAGGGCAGACTACGTTCCTGCAAGTCGCGTATTCTCCGGCAAATGAAGCCGCCGATTGCATGTGGGCTATGCCAGAGATAGATATACCGCTCGTATGGTAATGCTGACGAGCTCTGATGAGGTAGCATCTAGATTCCGCGAAATGGAAAATGCTCGTTCGTACCATCCTAACGACAGGGGTGCTGACTTCCCACCCAAAATTAGTGCTTATCGCTATATCCTCTGGTAGCCTACTGTGATAAAGATCAATTACGACTGCTTGATGATTGTACAAATACCTAAGTACGCCTCGCGATACAGAGATCTTGAAGCATTGTCAATATCTTGTAGATTCAGTCTAACATGGCAAAGTGGTTTAGTGTGGCTGGAGCGCTGGCAGCGATAACGGTGGCCATACTCGCAGCTAGTCCGCCGCCACTGCCCCAGCAGGTGCTGTCACTATTCTCTGGCTATCCTGACTCCGAGCGATTACAATGTCGCCCATTTTTGCCTTCACAAATCTTTCTTAACTATCCTCCGCGCGAAGTTGATGCAGCTATCAGCAATGCGTCCAATGAACTTCGTCGGCTTCTCGACAAGCTTGAACGAAATGGTGGCTTTGAGACGCTTGCTGTTGCTATCACAACTGCCGAGGGGCCAATCTTCCTTGATACTCGAGGAAGACTTCGTAGCAACGAGACAAGCTCCCTGTCTGTGACGCCACACAGCCAGTATCGGATTGCATCAGTCTCAAAACTCACCCCTATATTCATTGGTTGGCTCTTCCAGGAAAAGGGGATTATCTCTTGGTAAGCCCTATAGCTGATGGAATGCATCACTTAACTGACTTATTCAGGGATGACCATGTAGTGGACTATCTCCCGGGCCTTTCAGGATATTGGGGAGACACGACAATCTATGACCTTGCAACTCATATGTCTGGAATAGGAAGAGACTGGCCTCCAGGCGTGGTCTCGGATTGGCCTTTCTCTACCGAAGGGGGAGGTCCTCCACCGTACAATGGCCATGACTTCCCTACAGTAGAGGAACTGATACAGAGCCTCTCTGAAAATAGAGCAGTCACTCCACCGTGGACGGAACCCACCTATTCAGATACCGGCACTGGTCTTTTGGGGGTCGTCTTATTGAAAGCAGCACAGCGTCACTTCGGTCCTCAAGCTCCCAAGTCATTTTCTGCGTTGGCTCAGAAGATGGTATTCAACCCATTGAAAATGGATGGAAGCCACTTTCTGGCCACCGATGACAATAAGAAACATATTGTTGTACCGAGTTTTATGTCTGATGTCACCGTGAGTGCCGCCACTATTCTCACATTGGAGCAAACTTATTTACTGGTGCTTGACTAGGATCAAGATTTTACTGACACCATGAATTCAGCTGGTGGTCAATTTTCCTCACTAACTGATCTGACCAAGCTCGCGCAATTCTTGTTGAACCCAGGCAGCATAGATGGTCTGCTTAAGCGCAAGACTGTAGACAGGTGGCTCAAGCCCATCGTATCATTTGAAGAAGATGATCTAACAGAACTGGGGATGATGTGGGAGATATTGAAACACCCAGATGCCAACCAGCGCCTCAGGCGTATTTACCAAAAGCGTATTATCATGTGCCTCTCAGACCGACTGTCTCGCTAACTTGCTTGCTAGTCGGTCTCATGCTCGCGTTTGGTAGCTGCTTTTCTCTGCAACCAAGTTCGGGTTACGGCATTGTCGTGCTCATGACAGGAGGTTTTCCTGATGCAGGAGGTATCTGCTGGGAGGCATTGCGTATCTTCCAGCCAGCAATCGACAGTGTCCTAGCTGAAAAAGCCACCCAGTTGTACGTCGGTGAATGGTCTAGCAGCGATGGTCTGACAAAGGCAGCCGTTTCTCTTCACAGAGGAACGCTATTCATTGACCGACTCGAGTACAACCATACAAACGTTTTGGCAACGTTTCCAGTCGATGGCCAGCTTGCCCTAAGATCAGCTTACAGGAAAGACGAGTTTAGGTAATCTGCTCTATTTCCTAGACCTCGAAAACGGCCCTAATCGTGTGATTAGAATTGATACCGGATTCCCTGGTGGATTCAACGGCAAGCCTCATATGGGCTGTTACGTTTATTGGAATGGCAAAGACGACTGGGGCATAAAGAATGGCTATTCGATCAATCTCATAACGTTTGAAGGAGGTTTAGAAAACCGATCTTTACAAATCCCTTCTCTCGGTATAACTCTACGTCGTTGATGCGGATCGACTTGCTTGAAAAAGAATCTGCTCTTCGGTTCTCGGCAGGTTGAAGGTCAAGGTGCTTAGCATTTCCACAAAGGGAAACCATGGGGATCGTCCCCCATGCCTCGTAAATTCGTTCGCAATGAGAGTCCGGCGATTTCAGTTGACTAGCTTGCAGTTTGTTCCCTGTCTGAAGCTTCAGCATCCAAAAGCTAGAATGAACTTGGGAAAGGTAAGTCACTAAAGTCTAGACGAGAATGTCAAATGTGCAGTCGACCCCGCAAATCTCACCCACAAGCTCCAATTTACCCCGAACCCCATTTGAAGCTATTCCCGTTATTCGCTAGAGGGTTGTCCTGGCTCCAGTAGATCCTATCCAGGTCCTCGGGTCAATGTGACATATTTCTCCGTCTGTGCCGTACTTGATTTAATGATGCAACTTGCTTCAATTCCCCCGCATTACTCCAACAATACGGTTCCAGCTCCTCCGGGCGATAAAGGTGGTCCGACCTCCCACCATGAGGCAAATTCGACAGGCGTTATTGATCATAGTTGGATGGAAAGATGGGTTTCTTCAAGTCACGGCTCTGTCGCTTGGTGACACTGTTTCAAATGGTCTCGAAGGGTATTGCGGCATGGACAGTACCTCCCGAGTACGCCATCATCCCATCTCCGGATGGCCACTTCTTCCAACAGTCGGACGGCACTCCATTCTTCTGGCAGGCTGACACAGCATGGCTTTTATTTCATCGGCTGAACTACTCCGAGTGTGAGACATATCTGTCGGATCGAGCAAGCAAAGGCTTCAACATGGTACTTGCCGTGGGCTTCACTCAGATCGGGATCGACAGTCCAAACCGCAATGGAGATCTCACATTTATTGACCTCGATCCTACTAAGCCCAATGAGCCGTATTGGGCATACATTGATTCTATTGTCGAGTTAGCTTGGAGAAAGGGCATTCGCATCGCTATGGTACCGGCGTGGGGCCAGTACATTCACGGCAGCACAAACACAGGGTCGTATATTAACGAGACGACAGCCAAAGATTTTGGCACATTCATTGGCCAGCGATACCCATACCTGCCAAAGCTTCTTGTTGCAGACACAAATCCGTATTGGACCAACAAGACCGCGGTCAAGGCAGACTACGCCGTCGGTGGTGTCCCTCAAGTATACACATACACGGACTGGGGCCCAATCTATGACGACCTTGCCTATGGCATTGTGAATGGAGAGCGAACTGCTACAGGCAAGAATGACTGGTGGCCATTGATGACCATTCATCCCACAAATCAGTGGTTCTCTGGCGGCCCAATCGCCCTTGCCAGCGCGTTCATGGGAGACCGAGACTGGCTGACGTTTGATGCCAGCCAATCTGGTCATGCTGACATTATTCCAAACGCACCAATTCCATGGTGGAATGCCCGAAGGGGCTGGGAGCCAGTTGAACTAATGTGGACAGTAGGAGAGACTACGCCAGGAAAGAAGCGACCTGCGCTCGACAACGAGGCTCATTACGAGGCGAGATATAACAATGGAAACAAATCATACTTCTACTGGAATGCTAGCGATGTGCGGATTGGAAGCTGGCAAGCAGTGAGTGCATGCTTCAAAATGGAAGTTCCTTATGCGGTGCTAACTTGAGGAAGGCATTTTCCGGAGCTGCTGGTATCACTTACGGAGCTGACAATGTTATGCAAATGTATATACCTGGTCTCTTCGATCCTGCAGGAAGTGGTCCTGCTCGCGCCTGGTCTGAGGACATTGGCCTGCCTGGTGCGGCCCAGATGCAATATATTCAAAAAGCGATTTTGGATCGCGGCAACTCAAGTTATTATACAAGAATTCCCGCCCAAGAGATCATCGTTGGCAATGCCGGTAAGTCCACCCGTGTATTCTCCTAGCTCACTGAGTATTAATAAATCCTTGAAGGTGGTGATGATCAACGAGTTACAGCTACTCGAGACTCAAAGGGTACTTGGATCATGGTTTTCAGTCCGACAGGAAAGTCCTTTTCACTGGACACAAAGACACTATCGGGGTGCAAAATCGAGGCGAGCTGGTATAATCCATTAGATGGGACGTATGCCTCTTTCAACTTTACGAATGGATCAAGCTCTGGGACTGTGAGAGAATTCAGTCCGCCTCCAGGAGATGAACACACAGATTGGCTCCTAGTATTAGAAGCCGCTTCAGGTAAAGGACGTAGATATATCTAATCGCAAACATGATATCTAAAACATAGCGCCTTAAATTATGATGAAGTGAAATGAGCATGTTGCGGCTGATCTAGGATCAAGGGGCATTTACGCTCTGTGATTTGAACGGAAATACTCCCATGACGAATACGGGTTTCATTCCCGCACATGTCTTGGGAAGCTTAGCCCTAGTTCTCTGTGCAGCCGTCGGGCATAGTAAATCCATGTTCGCCACGATCTCCGGGTTGTGGGGATCCTCTGGCTCTTGAATAGTGGAACACTTTTGGCATCAAAAGTACACGGCCTGGGCAATTTAATCAGCTAGGAAACTTAGTTGGTCTAGATTCATTATCTAGTGAGAATCCTCGGATATCTTGAACACCTAACATACCATTTGGGACTAACTATGTGATTGATTAAGGTGGTGTGGGGTATTGGGTTGGTTGATGGTGAATTGCGCCATTGCACCCAATTCCACGCAACAAATTGTCGGGATACTCCTCAATGATAACGTCTCGGTGCTCCAACAAACATCCAGTTCGGCTTTACACAGAAGGCTGCCACGTTTGAGTCCATAATTGGAACCCAAGCGAGCGTTTTCCAATCTGCATAGATCGCACTCGTGCCCAAGAGCCACAAACATGCCTTCCGTTGTTGAGCCTGCCAAGCCCCTACCAGTGTATTACATTGGTCATGCTGGAGTAGGCTTGCTGTTTGATGAATCGCCGCGAAATCGCATTGTTCAAGACAATTTGAGGGCTATTGGAGAAGAGATTTTAGCACTTTCGCCCCGTCCCAAAGCGATAATCACTTTCAGCGGACATTTCGAGGCTGGTGAAATTCATGGGCCGGGAGTAATAGAAGGTAAATTCTTCAATGCCGTTGACATCATAGTTCTATCGTATCTCAGGACTGACAGACCTATAGTGAATGTCAAGAGGGGAACCCATATCCAGGTTTGTCAAAAGCTTTCGCTGCTTGGAGATGGGAACAAGCCTAGCTTAATACTAATACCTACATTAGCATGATTTTGTCAACGATTTTCATGATTCAAAGCCCTTTGTTTACGAATACGAGTGGCCTCACAATGACTCGCCGGAACTTGCAACAGAAGTCTGGCGACACTTAACTAAAGCCGGGATCAAAGCAAAGAGAGTCGAACGTGGTGTAGATCACGGTGTCTGGGTTCCTTTCAAGCTGATGTTCCCGCCCGAAAACCCCCTAGATATACCGATCATTCAAGTTTCGACATTCTATGGTTATAACCTCGAGAGTCAAATCCGGTTGGGAGAGATATTACAGTCATTACGGTAAAGTAGATTCATGGACTGAGACTCAGAAAAAGACTAACAAGGATGCATAGTAATGAAGGCTACCTCATCGTGAGTTCTGGCATGGCTGTCCATTCATTCGCTTCTATCGGAGAGATTTTTGCGGCGCCAAATGAAGAAGAGCGACAAGCTATAAGAGAAAAAGTTCTTCAAGAATCAAGAACCTTTGATACGGAGCTTAGGAATGCCGTCACAAAGAAGGACGCAGCAGAAAGAAAGAAAGAACTGCTAGCGCTGGAGTCCTTGTATGAATTCAAACGGTCGCACCCAACCGTGGAGGTAAGTAAGCTCAAACGTCCTGCACTTTCATCTCAGGAGGCTTCGCAGATAAATCTAACTTTTCAACTTCAGCATTTCACACCGATCCTTGTAGCAGCTGGCGCGGCCGGAGAGGCAATTGTAGAACCCTTGGGCGTTGACGTCGTTGAGCCTGGCATGTCATATCTCAATGTGCGCTTCACGTGAGAGAAACAGTAGAACGCTGGATATCAACAGTCAGTTTATTGGACTTCATGAACGCTTTTCAGAACCAATGATGTATATCAATAACAATTCAATGAAACCGAGAATGACCCATGCGTTGTTGCGTAATCAATATGATAAAACGAACGAGAAGCAATAATCAACGTCGGATGCTATGACATACGATACGTTATGAAAACAATATCGATAGACGCTTGATTTCTAATCCATCGAATGGGCCTCAGATCCACGTGGTTCTCCGCTCACGGGCTTCAGGGGCGTATACTCTACCCCACCTTCATGATCCCTGAGTGTCACTATTCCTGCAGAACGGGTCTAATTCTGCAATGGTCTCTCTCGGGTTTTTTCATAGCGGAGCCCTTGAACAGTGGAAACAAGCACGTATTGCTCGGACTACCGACGGTGATACATGTAACTAGAAGGGTTTAAAACGCGCACACTGGAAATGAAGATCCAGTGCTGTCTACCAGATCTCATTTCACCTCGTCCATGAGAGGCTGAGTCTTGAGTCGCAACAAGGAGGTCTAGTGCTTCTTCTACTAACTGCAAACGGATTTGCCATTTTCATACGAGTAACAGACTTCTTTCGTCATGAAAGGATTTGCACTATCATGGTCGAGAATTACAGCGGTCGTCGGATTGTGGGAGACATCGCGTCGGAGTTTGGGAGGCGACTAACACCCAACGTGGCGCCCCACTCTCGTGACGACATCAACAGGGCCAAAGACGACATTAAATAGAATAACTCAGATTGGACGGTGAGGTACTCGACACAAGGACACTGTCATTATCGCAAGCTTTAGTGTTAGAATGGAGATAATACATCGGAACTAATAACCGAAGGAGGTTGAAGCTACTGCACTTTTGGAGCACACTTCGACATGTCAGGACAAAACGATCCACATCTGCCGGCTGCCGGTCTGTACTTCACATTCGACATTGGCAGGCGCGATGGCGAACAGCGACGAGTCCCAAGAGAATGGAACGGGCTGGGCCTTCTGCATGCATGTTTTAAAAGGCGGCTCATTGGCACATGGCCCTCTTGCCGGGCAAAGCACGTTCCTCTACTGATCCAGGCCATTTAAGTTCTTCGTGTCAATATCATGGCATCTCGAGCTACTGAAACGTTTGCTGCTGCTGCATCAGCATTGCCCGCAGTGTCCAGGATTGGCACTGCCGAGGAGAAGGCAGATCGTCATGATCTACCAGCCTCAACTGTGAAGCCCCACGACGGATCCGAAACACCATCGGAAGACCTGGAAAATCTCCAGAGTGGCGTATTTCATCAATATATTCAAAAGAATGGCCAAAACTTTCTTGTCACCTGGACGAAAGACGAGGAAAGGAAAATCGTCCGAAAAGCTGATTTTCTTTTTTTACCTATATTCGCTGTAAGCCCGCCATGGCATTTGCTCTCATACTAAGAGACCATCTTTATTAACCCTTAGATTTCTAGTTGATGTTTACGTGGATGGCTATCGACCGCACCAATGTTTCTGGTGTTCTAACTTCGACTTTCCTTAAGGATACTGGGATGACTAGAGACCAAGCCAACACTGGTGTTTCTCTCCTTTGGCTCGGCATCGTTCTGCTTGAGATTCCTTCGAATGTACGAAATGGTTTCCGTGACTCATACAAAAGCATTCGGTTCTTGTTCTGACAAGATTTTGTAACAGATAGTTTTACACCGGATAGGGGCTCACTACTGGATCCCCGCTCAAGTCGTCGTTTGGGGCTTGATAGAAGTACTGCAGAGCTTCGTTACAAACGCCAGCGGTTGGTATGCAGCACGACTGTTCCTCGGCCTTGCAGAGAGTGGTTTCATCCCAGGAGGTCTTTACACACTTTCCAGATGGTACACGCAAGATGAGCTGGCAAAGCGCACGACAATCTTCTTCTTCGGCCCATCAATTTCAGCGGCTTTTGGGTCTTTGATTTCCGCTGGATCATTACGTATTGCAGGGGAAGGAGGTCTTAAGGGATGGCAATGGTAAGCACTCTCGCTGACTCCTTAAGTATGACTTCGACCTGACTGGTTAATAGGATTTTCATCATCTGCGGCGTCTCAACCATAGGTAAAAGCAATTCGAATGCGTGCTATTGATAGGATTTGCTAACAGCCACTCCCCTAAAGCTACTGGCCTCTTGGCTTTCATAGTTGTTCCTAAATCGCCATACCACACCGGACGCATTCTCGGGGGTCTCATCCCAAGCCATGGATGGCTCTCGGAACGTGAGGCTGATGTATTCGTTGCTCGAATCATCCGTGCGGATCCAAATAAGGGACAGGCAGCCACACTCCGTATCGGTTTCAAGGATATGTAAGTCTGATAGACTCCTGGGTGATACATGATAAGAATGCGTCTAACAGTCTACGATATAGAACCGATGTTCTCCTCAGCTGGAAGACATGGCCCTACCTCATTGTCTGTCTCAGTGGTCTCCAGTCTGTCGGCGGTCTTTCAACTTGGGGAGCCACTATAATCCAATCCCTTGGCTTCACCAGCATCAAGGCCAATTTGCTGAACGCGCCTGGACCGATCTTGGCTTCCCTATTTGGTCTTACGATCTCAGCATTTGTGGATCGGTATAAGCGTTTTGGCTATCCCATTATGTTTACTGGCGTGTGGACAATTGCCGGACTGATTGCTTTATATGTAAGTCATCCGCACCCTTGATAATAGCTCATGCCAACTTTTGGTGAAGCATCTACCTGTCAAGACGAAAGCTTCGTGGTCTTTCTACGCTGCTTATCTCGTTACACAGAGTGCTCCGTAAGTCAGCCAGTTATAGTCACCACGAGCAAGGCAATTGATATCTTCTACAGCTCCTGGCAGCCAATCAATGTGACCTGGCTCTCTTTGAACCAGAAGACACCCCAGCAGCGAGCTGTTGCATATGCTGTTTACAGTGAGTTGAACCCGCTTGTGTCTTGTCTCAAGTATTGTCTCTAACCAGTTCATAGTCGGGTGCTCTAATCTCGGTGGCACGTATGGAAATCAGGTCTTTCGTGGCGTGAGTATTCCTGGGATATATCCTGATAGGTGATAGAGACTAACTCATTCCTGATAGTCCGACGCACCTCTTTACCGTAAGGCTTGGGCGGCGTGTCTCTCGCTAGGTGCCGTGTGGCTGGCTACTATCATCATTCAAACCATTGCTTTCAAATGGGGGAATAGACGCTATGCGAAAAAGTTGGCCGCCGAGCCCGAACTTGAATCAAGATCACTTTACAGTGATTCGCGCGGCCGGAAGTTTCTCTACTACTGGTAGATGTATTTGTGAGGATGAAGATCTGTGGACATGAGCTCGAATGGCTTTAACCCCGCCAATTGTTAAATATGAAGCATTAGAATATTCTCTTGTACGCATAATAACCCAGATATATCTCTGAGCCCCACCGAATTGATTATCACCATTCAATCCAGCCTGCCTGTCTCGATGGTTGATGTGCTCCTGTTTCATAACTACGGTACGGTTTGAACAACGCAGTCTATCTAGACCGAGGTGCCAGATATTTATTGAAGATATCGTAATGTTTGTACTTGAAGAGTAGTCGTCCTCCTCAGAGTCATATCACGGCAGGGTGGAGTCCACCGAGGCTGGTGGGGAATGAAGAATGCCGGGAATTGTCCGGCATCGGGAGTCGTCGAACTAGGAGTCTCGGCTCTGAGGGCGCTGCCACCCTTCCGGGTCGACTTGCCCAAAACAGTGCTGAAAGTCGGACACGCAACATACCTATGTGTCAATGCAAGTCGGGCGGGGGATTCAACAACAGATGCATCGTTATATCGTCCGCATGACATGGTATCGAATGTTACTGTCTGGATTAAAATACTGCATCATCAACCGTAAAAGAGGCGATGCATCAGTATGTTGGCAGTGCTTTTGATGATCTTTGGGATGCGAACATCCAGTGGGAGAGGGCGCCATCCATGAGTCTTTTGAGTTTCAATGCCTCCGTCCTCTGCCCTGCCAGCAGGACAACGGGCTGTTAGTGTTAGTCATATGCTAGTCTGGCAGAAGCCACTATCAAAATGGCCTGTTTGTGGTTTTACGTACCAGAGACAGAATAACCACGCGATAGAAAGATAGGGAGCCCACCAATCCGCGCGGCGGACACATCTACCGCCAACAGCACACTGGGCGCTACATGACTAAACCTATCTTGGTTTATCTATGCGTGTACCGTACTCTCTCCCCCATGATTTCATCTCCAACTTGGCCACCTTCGAGCACTTACATCTGTTGTCTCTTTCTTTCTAGTTCATAGTTATAACATCATTCCTTTAATATACCAAAAAATGGCTTTAATCAGCGTTGTGTTGTTTCTTGCGGTCGTCGCAATTGTGGTTGGGTGGAAGTACGGGATTGAGCGGCGTCCAGTGAGTTCTCGTTCCAAATACTGCGGGGATGATTGATAGGATGCGTCCCTAACGCCATCAAAGCACCGTGATGCTTCGCCGGCTCTCGAGAAGGCTGAAGATGCCAAAGCCCCTCCGGTTCCTGACATGACCATCGAGCCCCTGGAGGGCTTCGATTGGAAGGCTACCGAGCCTGTCAAGATTCGGCCATTCAAGCCAGTCTTCCACATCACAATGGGTATGAGTGGCGGCTTGCTGCGACATGATCAGATTGGCTGACAATAATACCAGCTCTTCAAAGCACAGCACCGTCAGACTTGATAGTCATGGATTACAACTATAAGGAGCGCGTGCTGGGACGGAGAGAACTAATTGCTGAGCACACATCAACTGTGTCTGGATTTATTCCTATGGGCGTTTCGGCAGTCGAAGAGGCATACTCTTATCTCCTGACGGATTATCTCCCGGTTCGGTTTCCCACTATGTTCACACTCTCAGAAGACCGCAAGACCTTCAACAATCTCGTCACGGAGGTCTCATGGCCTACCACGCCGCCCGCCGATACGCTCGAGGCTTTGAAGATCCTGGGCGAGACCGTCGAGGACGACATTTTCCTACTGCACAAGACCGATCGCGGGCACCTGGCTGTTGCGTTTGTGTGCTGCTATTCGTCTGGGTTCGACCCCTCGTCAAAGTTGGGAAAGATTCTCGAGGAGATTCATGCGCCGGTGCCATCGTACAACAAGATCGGAGCAAGTATGGAGAGGTTCTTCAGCCGACTGGAGGTTGGAAAGAATGTCAAGCGTGTTAACGTAAGCCGGCCGTTGATGCATTTCACTTGAGCCCCAAATTAGTGCCTAGGTTTTAGGTAATGAATGCCCGCTGACATGCATGATTAGTGGTCCATCACCCCCGAAGCGACGCTTTTCAACACTGCCGGAAATCATGTCCACGAAGAGGATCTGGAGTGGATCAAGCAAGACGACGAAATCGATATGGATAAGGTCAGTGCCAGCATGGTTTGATCTAGGAGGAAGATCGCTAACTTTGCAAACGTAGGCCCGCATGAGGATGGAGCTTCAGACCCTGAGCAGGTTTCCAAAGACGCAAGCTATCATGTTCTCATTCAAGACACTACTTTATCCGGTGAAGGATGCCGTTGCAGAAGGTTTAGGGCCTCAGTTAGCAGATGCAATTGAGGGACTTCCTAAAGGCAATGCGCCCGGCATGTGGACTTACAAAGGCGGTATCCGCTGGGGCAAGAGTGTTTTGAACTATTTGAGAGCCCAACCACAGCCATAAGCACTTTATTCAAACTTGGCACGACGAAGTGGCGTTTGACTAGCGATTATGGGATATTCCGGGAATAGGGGCTGTATCCGAATGTCGGCGGGCTGATCAGGGTTGGTTGCTTACTCACCTAATGGTACTGGATGAGGCAGCAGTCCGTATAGACATCCTAGCAAAACTAAAATGATGGGTTTCTTGTCCGAAACAAGTCGCAAAAGTAACAGTATGAAAATCGACATTAGGTCACTTGTATGTGAGTTTGGTTTCCGGCATACAGATCACATCACCCTCAACTTCGGAACTGGACTGAGTGTACTTTGCTGCTTTTTTACTAGAGCAACTATCTGCCGAATGCATGGTAGCCTCCTTGGTATTGTTTAGACAACGCAAACCAGCTTTCCGTCGTCGTTGCCAACCTTTTCATCTAACGCCATGTGTTAAAAGAGCTCAAGTCAACGTGAACAAGATCTTCTGGAAGGACCACTCACTAAGATCGATTGAGGTAGTGCGCCTCAAGCCCTTGCCAGTTGCACACTGACAGCTGAGCACCGTTCCATCCAGACGGCAGGGTTCGCAAGATTTGAGGCCGTCGCCACTGTCCCAACAGACGTTTAGTCATGCGTCCATCACTGTCGTATGGACGTGATCATTTGATCGAGGGGAAGCTTACTTGCGGGCCCACTGGAACTGTCCGGCGTTGTCCTTGAGACAGATGTTCATGTTGAGGGAATTCGTGAACTCATAACCAGATCTCCTCTTGCACGTGCCCACAATATATGACTTGTCGAATGGGTTGATGTAGTAGTGACGACAGCTGTCTGCGAAGCCACCAGCTAAGACCTGACTGGCCAAGGATAAGGTGAGAGACAACACGGGTATCTTCATTGTTAACGTGTTTCGTCGGAGACTTAGGTGAAGACAGTCGGAAAACTCGATCCCTGGTGTAGTAAGGGGCGAGAAGAAGGGTTGAGCAGGAAGGGTAGGGTAGGAAGGGGAGAGTAGGAAGACTCCGACGTCAATTCGGGACAAATGAAAACAAGCTTAGCATAGCAATGGCAGATGGATGTTGTGTGAGACTGAGGTGAGATTTAACCACCACATGGGATGAAAAAGGGATGGGGATGCATACGCTAGGTCTGGATTGCCGTATAGTAAAGGTCGAGGGATATATCACAGCAAAAAATCATTGAAAACACAACGATGAACTCCATTTTATTAACCGCAGGCAGGCATCTGCCTTGATAACGCCATCCCAGAACACACCAGCAACGCCTGAGATGCCGTTGTTGCCCTAATTCCGGTCTACATGCAGTATGCCAAGGCCTGTCTATGTTGCCTGTGTCCCATTTCGCCGCGCCGGCCGTGAGAAGAGTTCCGTCAATATAGTACAACAACCATTATAATCAAGACACAAGTAACCCCACTCACAAGCTCAACGCTTGCGTGTATCCTTTCCTTTCTTCTTGCTCTTCTTCTTATCCTTAGGTAGCTCCAGCGGAGTACCTGCTAGCTGCGCGGCCATGATCTTGAGCATGTAGTCGTCAATGGTTTGTAGAGGCTCGCCGAAAGCATTGTATTCGACTTCGACTTCCTCAGCCTTCAAGACATCGTCAGCAGATTCAGCGAAGAGGCCCAGACCCGATTTGCCAAGTGTCGCGGGTGCCATCGAGCCTTCTCTTGGCGTTCCTTGACGAACGCTGGATACACCAGATCCACCACCAGACTTTTCTTGGAAGTCAGCATCATCTTGCTGGATTTCCTTTTCAGCGGCTCGAGCAGCGATTACGTCCTCAGTGTCTTCAGCTTGTTCTAGGGCTCTGCCAGCGGTTTTCTGGTCTGTGGTTTCGACTCCTCCCAGAACCCGATCCATAGCCTCGTTCGCGACTGCATCGCTTTCACCAAGGAGACCTCCTTGATCGGCACCACCGAGAACATCGTGAACCGATAGCTTGTTGAAGTAATCAGTAGTGAATTCTCCTTCCTGAATGACAACATCGTCGAGCATCTGCTTCTGGCTGGCTTTCCGGAGAATGTTGGCCTCAATAGTATGCTCACTGACGAGTCGGTAAATGTGCACGTCTCTCGTCTGGCCAATACGATGGCATCGATCCTGACATTGCTTGTCCATGGCGGGATTCCAGTCTTGGTCATAGAAGATGACAGTATCCGCGCCAGTGAGATTGAGACCCAAGCCACCAGAACGTGTAGACAAGATGAAGCAGAGTATGCGATTGTCTACGTTAAATCGGTCTGTGAGGATCTGTCGTTGCTCGACCTTCGTAGAACCGTCAAGGCGGAGATACTTGTGGCCATGGATATTGAGGAATCGCTCGAGAATATCTAAAACCTTAGTCATTTGAGTGAAGATTAGAGCACGATGGCCGCCAGCTTGCAGCTTGCGTAGAAGCTTGTCAAGTGCCTGCAACTTTCCGCAATCATATTGAAGCAGGCGCTTGTCCGGGAACTGGATTGACAATCGCATGCGTGCTTCGTGCCAAGGATCCAAGGGCGGCTGCCGGGGAATAAAAGGCAGGGTCTTGACCGGTGCAGACAGTTTGAGATCAACCTCTTCAAGCTCTGTGATCAATTTTGTACCCAACAAGTATTGATTCAGATCCCTAGTCACAACAGCTGGCGTGACACATGCAAATTTCGTGATCAGGTTCTCCATAGATGCGGCTCGTTGGCTGATGGTCGGAATCATTGTGCGGAGAATGAACGAGTCTTCTTCGAACCATGTCATGATTTCTCTCGGTACACGAGGACGTGGTTTGTATGGCCGCTGGTCAACTCCAATCGTGAGAAAGTCTCGGAGGCCCTTGCCGTAGATTGGCTTCTGCTGACGACGCAAGGCATTGAGGTAGACACAATGTTGCAGCTCCTCGAAACGGCCCCATCTTGCAGCGCTCTCAAGGTAAACGATGTTTGATTTTGCGGTTGCTGGGTCAAGAGCAAGGTATGCATTGTTGGCGCGTGTCTTCTGGTTTTCTCGGAGGTCCATAAGGGCCCTGTGGGAACTTAATTGGAAGATTCTTTCTGCGACTTGCTTCGACAGATCCTCGTGCTCTGTTGGAACTAAGTTAAGAAAGCCCAAGCTGACGCTGCTCATTGGCGTCTTCGCGGTCAGCTTGTTGCGAATTAGCTGTTCCGTGAATCCGAAATCTGCTGCGACTGACTTATTCATCCGCAGCGATGTCATGATCGGCCTGTCGATGAACAGATCCGGATGATTACACACTTTGCGTAGTTGCATGAGACAGTTAATTATTGACAAATAATTGCCAGAGGACAGAGTCTCTCGTGTCTCGGTCCGTGCTAGGAATCCATCGTAGAGCTCACGCTGTCGTTTAGAAAGTCGGCAGAACTCCACATGCTCATGCTTCGCAGGCATCTGCTTCTCCACATCTGCTTTCAATCGACGAAGAAGGTAGGGCCGCAGCACCTTGTGGAGCTTTGAGATGATGGCGCGGGCCTCTTCGTCCATCTGCTCTCTCCCGCTCTCCAGAATTTGGGACTCTGGTTTGTGAAACCAATCATGAAACTCTCGTAGATCTGCAAATCCACCAACCCCGTTCTCGGAGGGCATCAAGAAAAAGAGGAGTGACCACAGCTCCGTCAGATTGTTCTGTAGTGGTGTGCCAGTCAAGAGCAACCTTGAGTGAGTATTGAAGCCCAGAAGAGTCTGCCATCTCTGAGATCTGAAGTTCTTGATGTTGTGTGCCTCATCCAAGATCATATAGTGCCAACGGCGTCGTTTGAAGACTTGTTGATCCTGTAGGACAATCTGATAAGATGTAATGCACACATTCCAAATATCATCGTTCGTCCAGCCTTGACGTTTCCTCTTGCGCTCCTCTTGCGTACCATAGTAGGTGAGTATCTTGAAGCCAGGACACCACTTCTTGAACTCCATCTCCCAGTTCAACATAACACTAGTAGGGACAATAACGAGATGCGGTCCCCATACTTCATGATGGCAGGCAAGATGGGCGAGCAGCGCAATTGTCTGAATAGTCTTTCCGAGACCCATTTCGTCAGCCAGGATTCCATTTGTATTATTGGCATACAGCCCTGCGAGCCAGTCGAGACCGTCATGTTGGTATTCTCGAAGTGTGCCGCGCAGCAAGAACGGGATCTCAGTCTTGGTGGATGGCTGAGGAGATGTCGACCGGCTGGCATCCTTAAGAACACTAAGATGCTCCACAGAAGATGCAGTGTCGACCTCTGATGGCTTTGTTTCTGATGTCCTGGGAGACTGGCTAGGATCTGGGCTAACGACATTGGTCACAGCGTCAGTCTCAGGACTAGTCTGTTTCGCGGCAGACACGGGGGCCGTGATCTCGACCTCCGGAACCGAATTATTCTCTTCGATGGCTTGGTCTTGCGGTGCATCGATCATAGAAACATCCTGGCTGGCAGCTAACTCTTGTTGAATAGGCCGAGAGTCGGGGGCGGAATTCTCGGCTTCGGTGGTCGTCAGGCCTTCTTGCTTCTCTAGTAGGACTACGCTGCTACCGTCCGTTCGAGAAGTGTGGTCTAGTAAGTTAGATGATGTCTCTGGAGGATTCGTGCTCGAAGTTGCGTTTTGAGGTCTATCATCTGCAACATCGAGCTGTGGCTGAGCCAGCGCAGTGTCAGCAGACAGTGCCTGCTCGATGTTATAATTACTAGTGTCCTCTTGCTCGGTTTGCTGTTCATCCTTGGAGTCATGTTGCTTGTCTTGTTCGTCTGCATCAGTCTTCGGTTCTTGGTTTAGAGGCGGCTGAGTGTCAACATCATTGAGCATTGCCGTGTCCCCATCCCCATCCACGCCTGGCGTCTCTGTAGCATCTGGTGTGGCCTCCTCTTGCATTTTCTTCAACTCCTTCTTTCCGAAAAACAGACCAAGAAGCCCCGATGGCTCTTCATCAGCCTCATCAGAGTCCTCAATATCTTCGTCAGAGCCATCTTCATCTTCGCTGTCCATATCTGTCGAGCCCAAATCATCATCCATATCGACAGACTCGTCACTTGTGTCATCATCGTTCGAGTTGAGCGCGAGTGCTTCAAGATCGCTGCCTGGCGTTCCCTCGTCGCCTTTCTCGTTAGACTCTAAGGCAGGAAGATTTGCGTATTTTTCTCGTAACTGGTCCTGGGTGAGGCCCTCATCGGATGCTACAGACTTCCTGTCTTCATCTTCGTCTGAAGACGAAGACATGTTGTCTTCATCAGCTCCGGATTCGGCGTCGGAATCTATTTCCACGTCAGAGTCAGAACTTAGATCCGCATCCTCGCCCAACTCGTCTCCGATCTCCAACTCGTCATCCTCGTCATCCGTAAGTCCCTCAGAGTCGGCATGCGCTTGTCTTGCTAGGAGCTTCTGCTCGGAGAGATTGACGGCTTCTTGTAGAGCTGCCTTAACACGTTTCTGCTCCGCAGCTTCCCATTCCTCAAGACGTCGACGGTTGATCTCGGCTTTGACATTTTCCCAGGTTCCAAAGAGAGACTTGACCACAAGACGGTATCGCCCGATCCACATTATTCTGGCTTCCTGTTCAAGCTGCTCGGCGCTCTTTGGTTGCCTTCGAATCCACTCATCGCGGCAGGCCTCGGCCAGCTTTTTAGCAGCTGCTCGATGGCGTTGATGTTCCATGAACATGAGCTTGCGGAAGTTCGTCATCGCCTTGGTCAGATGATCCATGTGCGCCCATTGCCTCGGGGGCTCCTCTGCAGGCTCAGGCTCAAAGGCGGAGCACCGTTCCTCAGAGAGGAGACCTCCAGGACCAACCTCATCCTCAATTCTCAGTATAGACCTGGCCTCTTTCAAGGCCATATCCTCTGTAAGTTGCGGTCCATCTTCAGAAGCCAGTTGACCACCACTCTCGACAGGGATCTCAGCAGCCTGAACAAAGTAATCTTCAAAACTACTGCCAATTTTTGGCCGCATCTTGGTTTGTTCGGGGTGGACTATAGGCAGCTCCGTCAAGGGCAGACGCATGCGTAGCTTGATTCGAGGTGTGACTCGGACGGGTGCTCCATTACGAGCATCGTGACTTGGCGTCGAGGCAGCGTGTTTCGCATCTGTGCTTTCTCTTCGATTACGCGAGCTTCGTCGGGTTCGGGCGGAAGCTCTGGGAGGGGTGGTCGTGGCTGTGGGTGAGGATGATCTTCGACGAGTTCGAGCACTGGATCTTGTCTCTTGGACTGGTTTCTTATTCGAAGATTTGGATGTTGTTGTGGCCTTCGAGGGAGCGGGCTTCCCAGACGAGACTGGCCGCTTGGAAGGTTGCGTGGGGGCAACATGGCCGTTCGGGGCTGCGGTCTTGTTCTTCGTCGCCGGGCTGCCTTGTGCATGAAGGGATCTCCTAGTTATCCTCTTATCACCGCGCTGCAGCTCCAGTGGGACGGTGTTGATGCGACCGGACTTGCGCAAACCGTTCTCGCGAAAAGTTGATGGACCCTCGGCCTCGATGCGCTTCCAAGGCGGAGATTCGACCTTTTTACGCGGCGCGCTGTTGGGAGGTGGAGTGGTGTCTCGGACTCGTCGACGCTTGGCAGGTCTCTCGTCACCATGCAGATCGACATCGTCGATGTGTCCGTTTGTGTCCTCGTCCTTCGCATGGCCGTTCGTTTTCGGTGCGGGCTGATCAACATCCTGGGCTGGTGATGATGACTCTTGTTGTTGCTGGTCAAGGGCTGATTCGTCGTCTATTTGCAGCTCGGGGGTTTCCGACTTGACCCTCTTGAGAATCTCGTCCGCGTCGGATAGTGGACTCGATGGTGGCTGGTCATCGACGTGGCCATCGCCGTTGTTGAGGTGGGCAGCCGAGATGTCGTGTGTTGGGTTTTCGGGCGACGCGGTCCCTGTCATAGCGATCTGGGCGGTCGGAAAGAGGGAAGGGAGGCCGCGATCTCGACAGAATTGGCATTTGGGGGGACAAAAAGTGCGTCGGGCAAATGGTAAGAACTTAGGCTATGTCGTCATGGAGTTTGCGCATGATCAGAGCCCGTGGAGGCTGGCTGCGATGCAAACTGTGTGAAAAAGTGCTCTTGTCAGCCAAAACTTTTGGGATGGGCGAAAACTCACGGACGTGTCGCCTGCCCGCATTCTGTGCTGAGCCTTAGCTAACCCACCACTACCACCACCAAGACAAATTCGCGCCTTGCCTCGCTAGTGAGAATCCCCGTTCCCATATTGACCACGCCTTAAATGTTAGGCATGCATGATTTTCCCGCACCAAGATCGCAGCCTCAGGCATCGACAAGCTTCACCCGACATCCTCCACAACCATCATCGAATCGCAACACCTCAATTGTCGATTACCTACAGCACAATCAACACCTCTAATTGCCTCCCAGTTCGACTGCGTCACGGCCAGACATCTAGCCAAGGTACCTGATTCCCCTCTACTAAACACCTGACCGAGCTCCAGGACCTCAATTGACGCCTCTGCGCATGCAGATGCTCCCCAGTCGAATTGTCCGGGCATCGCCCTTTCGATCAACCACCCTCGCGGCAGCTCGACGACTACCGATCGTCCAGCAGCGAAGCTTCATTCCCCCCTCGATCAATTCTAAGGCCCTTACTGAGGAGAAGTATCCGGATCCTGAGACTCTGACCGAGGCTGAGGATCCAGGCCAGGTGGGTGTTTTCTTCGGCGACGAAAACATCGGCTTAAGCGCAATAGCAAGCTAATGGGCACGTTTAGAACGGCGGTTACATCAACCCGCCCCGGATCAAGCGACAGTTCCGTGACCCCCATGCCGACTGGTGGGACAAGCAGGAGAGGAGGAACTATGGCGAGCCGGTGCACGAGGATCACGATATCCTGGGAATGTTCTCGCCATACGAGTACACGTGGATCTCTCCCGGCAAGGGACTATTGCAGATCGGCGCCTTCATTGTGACCGTGTTCGGACTTCTATTTGTTGTCAAGGCTACATATCCCGACCGACCGTCGTACCCGCGGGAGTTTGAGGGAGGTCTGCAAAAGGAGCTGGGCGGGTTGGGAGCCATCGGGGTAAGATTGACCACTTCGTGAACACTGCTACTGAGAAAGCAGGGCTAACATTTCCTTACAGGCGAGGAAAATAGGCGACCCGGAGCCCTTCCAAGAAGAGGAGCAGGAATAATGGATACAAATCTGTACATTACGATAGATCCATGTGTCAATGGAGAGCAGCCGAAGGCATGCTTGTATCAAGCCAATATTGATCGAGTCGGATAGTCTAGATAATGTGTCATGCACTTGACGCATGCTTTGTTTTGTCAAGCCCGTGTCTCAATTGTCCTGCATTCACACGACACGCTCTTGCCCTCAAGTTCCCTGCCAATCCGCCGATGAAGCGACTTCCTCTGATACCACCCTCAAAATCCACAATCTGCTCACTTGCGGCAAGTTCTTGCAGCGACGTCCATACCTCCTAGCAAAGCGAGACTCTGCTATGTTATAGGTTAACGCAGGAGCATGCACGAATGAGGTATGCAGCATTCACCCCATTGGCCCGGTAAGCGAATATCATCCATCACCGTGAACCTCTACCATGGTTAAAGATGGCCACAATCGCAGACTATGCCACTAAACAGCTAGCGGCGACCGCCTGCTGTGAATTACACGGTTATATAAGTTATCACAGAGAAGGAACACAAAGTTTCCAGACTAAGAAGGGAAGGAATGATGGTCAACTCGTCAGGGTGGGCAAGAACACAAATGTCTTCTAGTTCCTCGGTTTACTCTCCTTAAGTACCCAGGTAGCTTCCATCTGATCTCTGCTTTTGAAGAGACGATGTTGATTCAGTCATTCTCCAACTCGCTATGCTCTCCTTGATTGTCTGATAGCTGCTTGGTTTCCTACTAATACCGCGAGTCGATTCCAGCAACACTCGGCACTGCGGTCGGGGCCACATCCCAGGCAAAATTAGCTCGCGTGCCTCGCCAACCTCGACCATGCGCTACGGAGACTGGGACATTCTGTTGTTCCCCTCGGGGAAGGACTCCAAGGTTCCCGTGAAGGAATTCAGAATTGCCTGCCAAGTCGTCCCGGACATTGAACTTGCAAACAACCCTGGCTCCTTCGGCCTTCCCGTGATGACTTGCTTCATCCCTGGTCTACCTCATGGCTCGCCATTCCATATTTCTGTCCATAGCTGGAAGGCGCCGGAGATCAGCCAGTTCACCAAGAACTACAGCAAGCACAGCGAGCTCGTCAAGTTTGAAGCTCGTGTTCTCGTCGACGGACGTCTAGTGTCGTAAGTATTTTGCCTAGTTGTATCGAATACAACAGCATTGACTCGAATCTTGCAGTTCTACTTCTTTTGATAGGGTGGGCCAATGGCCGCACCTGATCAACAGCACCTTTGGTAATACTCCTCCCTACCACGCATACTTTTCCCTACTGCAAGCTGACATCGACCTTCACAGAGATGAGCAAGCAAGGCGAGCTCGAACCTCTGAAGTTCCCATTGTTTCGACGGGAGCTGCTGTACGAGAATCACTGGAACCCCGGCGATGACATCGGTCGGATTAAGGTCGTGATTAGCGAAGGCTTTCCTCGCGATTCCCTGTCCGTGCCGATTGAGCGAGTGAAAAATGTCGTTGTGTTCTCCTTTCAACATGCTCCACTAGGTAGGTGATCCCTGGCCCGCTCGACTTAATATTACAGTCTTTGCTGATACAAATAAGAAATCCTCGAGAACAATGGCATCGCATGGCCCAACCCGCAGATGTGGCATCGTCCTCTCTGTGAGCCTTCAATGGCGGTCCCGACTTTTCACCCAGAAGATGGCGCCGATTCTCACTCGCACTCTCCACGACGGCGTTCTCTCCTCAATAGAGTATCTGCCAGCCAAGGCTTCCCAATGCCGTTTATGCCTAGCTTAATCACATCGCAAGCTGCGCCATTCAACAACGCTGTCTACCAGCAGCCAATGCCACTGCTACAGAGGAACACACTGCCCTCCGGGTCGGCATATCCCGACCTTTTCACCGAGACAGCCTACCTTGAATGGGTCAACTCATTGGGACTGTCTCAGAATACTGACGTTGGTGAGTCTCGAGGCGTTATACCGACAACCTTTCCCAGGAACCCAAGCAAGCAATCCAGCACCGACATCAGCATGCCGGACTACATGTCCTCTTATAGCGGGCATAACATGATGCCTGAATCAGTACACATGTCTGGCACGAGCCTGGATGATGACGGTCAGACAGGCTCCTTGAAGGTGCCAACAAACACACCCACTGGCGGTCCGAATGAAAGCGCCGTAAGCTTTGGTACGTTTGAGTTTGCAAATTTGCTATCAATTTGTTGTTTCTCACACTTGAACAGAACCTTTCACTTTCAACATTCCGAATCCTGCCATTTCTGCGGAGCTAGCAACGAGTCTCACAGCATCCCTCTTGAATCAGCCACACCCGCTTCCAATCCCGACTCATCAAATCCCTCTCCCTGCACCTGAGATCAAAGGTCGCAAAGAAAACCGTCACTTGACGTCGACGGCCACAAGGTCACCGGCGTCAGCTTCATCCACACCCGGCGAATCACAGATGCGAAAAGTCTCGCGTACCAACTCTGCATTTGCCGTTCCTGGGGAAGGCAAGGACCGCGCAGAGTCCTCCAGTACTGGGCCATCATTCAGCAGGAACCCGTCTCTGGGAGAATTCGGTGCGAATATCACAAACATGACTGATCATATCCAAGGTTCTCGGGGAAGGCTTGTTCCTGGAACCGGGAGTGAGAAGGGTACAAAGCGAGCACGAAATTTAACGCCTGCCAGCACGAAAGCCATTGACGAAGAAGACGAGCCCAAACGACTGAGCCCACATGTACGGCCCGCACAAGACAGTAGACTTGAGGACTGAGCCAGACGACAAGTAAATCATATACCTGAATGACTTAACACATTTGCTCCTTGCTTTTCTTTTGCTAGGCTGCGGAGACATATTCTCACGGAACAGTCAAAAGGTTTACTGGTGTCACGATAGCGATCGCCTCCTCTAAATGCGTTTTTCATCAATATTAGGACCGGTAAGCTTCCGCCGGACTCGCGTGTATTCTGTGTACATCCGATGGATCACATACAATAGTCATCATGTCCTTACTCTTCCGGCCAGCGCATCAATATCAAACACGCGGAGTATTACTCAGAAGATGGTGTAACTCATAGCTTCAGTCATAAGTAGTTCTATATAAAGTTTTGGCGACTCTATTGCCGCCTTCCTGGCTTTTTCCGCTACCCAAACACCCATCTGTAGGACAACTACACTAAGCGACCTGTTAAAGTTTTGTGCCTTTGTCTATTCCATTCGGCAAAACAACATCGATTTACGGAAAGCTTTCCTATTCATGCCCTAATTTATCTTCGAAAGGTTGAAACGATATTTCTATTGATCACTGATGGATGGAGATAGCAACATGGTCTTCAACATACTTCTTTTACTAACTGTGCCATGGTTAGCAGCAGGCATTCAACCTCCATCTGCTCTAGGTCACAGCTTCTTTGACACCAACACCTATGTGCACCCTGGTGAGGCTAGTAAGTGTCCTCAGTGGGGTGGAAAGAGTTGTGGCTTTAGTGATCTTTGCGAGTGGAATTTGGACAGCAGTGTCTTGAACACATCCAGTCTAATAAGTGGCGAATATGACCCCTTTTTGTCGATTGTGGCTAGCTGTGCCAACAGCCCCCGCCGGGACACTTTCACACTTTCCAAGTTGCCGCTCAACAGCTGTGTCTGGAATCATGACGGGATACTTGACTGGGGCAGACAGTACGCCAAGCTCGGTTTGTGATCACTCTCGATGCTGACAATGAATCTTAGTGGCCATGGATTGAATACTTGCGACAGAGTTGCCTGCCAGGTGAACTACGACCCGAACACACTTTCGTGTCATTGCAACATTAACCATACGCATTCAATTGATACGACACTCCAACTTGGTAGATATCCTCAATGACCTCTCGTATCCACCCGTACCATGTGCAATGAAGACACTAATTAGAATCTCAGACAATGGAATCGGTACCACAAACGGCGTACTCTCTTGCAATGACATCTTGGGCGAAGTAACCGGCCATGCTGGTTTTAACAGTGTATGCAACTGGACTGTCTTCATCCCGCCGTCGATTCTGTCTGCAAGTTGCCCGACTCAACTACATAACAAGACATCGCCACTTGTGAGGAGTTCATTGGACCTCAATCATTGTTTGCACAACCGCAATGGCCAGTTAATACCACAGAACGGGTGCTCTATTCATCTCCTATCAACACTTGGTTACATGATATGTGATAGCTAATACAATGATTCTGACAGAGGAAATGCTTTTGACACCTGCACGAACACTACTATTCGTCCGGGCTACCAGCTCGAGACTACATGTCGCTATCCGGGTGGTAGATCACGTCGGGCATTCGCTGACTTGGGTAAGTAAATGACAAGATATCCCTTACCGCCATTGCATAACTGATGGCCGTATAAAGGTTCTTTTGTCGGAGTGTGGCCCCAGAATGGTACATTGGCGTGTTTTAAACAATCTTCATTTCTTCACTAACCCTCCGCTCAATCAAGCGGACAAGCATCCGATGGGGCTAGGAGAAGAAAACAAGACAGTGATTGGAGATGGAAATAGTGAAGATTGTATTTAGTGATATCCCATCACGCGAGCCTGATATCTTGAAATTGATATTAAATAGCCACATACAAAAGAAGCAGAAAGATGTATCAGGAGTTATGTCGTAGTGAAACGCTTCTCTACTTCAGGAGGACTCAGAGGTCCCAGTGTGTACGCAGATCCTGTACCTCGTGCGTCAGCGAGGAAGAAGGACGTCCTTGAATGCCGGTCGAGATGTTAACGAGTAATGCATCTTCAAATGCTTGCCGCGGGAAATTTTCGAGTCGTTATTATTCTTGTCTACACCAACGTAACCCAAAGATGCTATATAGACAAATTAATGGAAATCGACGATGTTAGTAATACTGTGCAGAAGCTTCCCTACGCTGTATTCCCTAACAGTCCGCCTAAGTCTTTTTGGCTGTAGCTCTCTGAGGCACAGTGTTAATTACATAGGGCAACTACTACATGTCTGGTGCCTTAGCAATGGCCCATGTTTCGAGTCAGGGGTTAACCGTTTGTCAGCGGTGCATTTACGAGCCACTTACACACAAGACAAATTATTTCCCCAGATAGTGTTAGTAATTTTGACCATGGATATGTCTATATTTGGACACAGCAACGACTTATCTTTAGCTGTACCAACTGGGGTCACATATATTATACCTACATATCCAGACCTGGCCCGTATGGACGAAACTGAAGAACTAGATATCCGGGCGGATCAAAAGATTGGTTATAGACATTGACAAACTCGTTGAGAATTTGGCAGCTCGGGCTATTGTCTTGGACCAGTGCCAGGAATACGAAAGTTAGGTGTAGATGAAGCTATCAGAGCGTCCATCATCGCCGATATAAAATGACGACATTGACGTTCCTCCATAGTTGAGTTTTGAAATCTACTCTCTCATTTCACTACCTTGTCGACGTTTAGGAACAGCCCACTGCAACACGCACATCCTACCTAGGTATAATGCTGCGGTCCGGAGGCGCTCCGATCCAGGCGGAGACGGCGGGGCTCCTCGGCAGCCCCAGCCGGCTAAATACGATACCCACATCGAGGGCATTCATCCGGTCGCTATAAGTGTTTCTGATCACGACAGTCCACGACAGTCATAAGAAGTTGCCAGTTACTCAAAATACCAGTCAAATCAATCATTCCCAAAGCCAAGTATCAACCCACGGTTCCAACTATTGGAGTTCTTGGGTGCAATCAACCAACATGCCCCCAATCCGCAACCCTATCTTGCCGGGGTTCAACGCAGACCCATCCATTCTTCGAGTCGGTGACGACTACTACATCGCTACATCGACGTTTGAATGGTACCCCGGAGTTCAGATACATCACTCAAAAGATCTCGCGAATTGGGAGCTCGTCACCCGACCTCTAACTCGCAAAAGCCAGCTTGACATGAGAGGCGACCCGGACAGTTGTGGAGTTTGGGCACCCTGTCTCACCCACGATGGCGAAAAGTTTTGGCTCGTCTACACTGATGTGAAGCGCAAGGACGGTTCATTCAAGGATACGCACAACTACATCATCAATGCACCAGCAATAGAAGGACCCTGGTCAGATCCCGTTTATGCCAATTCGTCTGGATTTGACCCCTCCCTCTTTCACGATGACGATGGCAAGAAATGGTTCGTCAACATGATATGGGATCATCGGCGTAGGCCTCTTCTCTTTGCGGGGATAATGTTACAGGAATTTGACCCCGTGGCTGGTGAGCTTGTGGGCCCAAGAAAGAACGTCTACCAAGGGACAGATTTGGAACTTGTCGAAGGGCCGCATCTCTACAAACGAAATGGATGGTACTATCTGCTCACTGCGGAAGGTGGCACGGGATATGACCACGCCTGCACACTCGCGCGGTCTAGGCACATATGGGGACCCTACGAGACGCATCCGCAGAAGCACATTCTCACTTCGAAGGACACGCCCTTTGCCGCACTCCAGCGCGCTGGACATGGCGACATTGTGGAGACCTCTGAAGGTAAGACATATCTCGTGCATCTCACGGGTC